AGCACTAGTTCAGGTTTGTGATCCTAATCTTACATCTAGGGATGGAAATCAGGAGTTTAACACCGAGACACGGAGTGATACTCAACACCATTACTTAGGTGTGTGTGCTAGAAGTAGGTGTCTCAGTTCCCATGCAGTGAAGATGTAGTCAATGTGGTGGAATCTAGAGAGCTTTTCAGCTCGCCCTGCAGCACCACCCTGCAGTAGGACCCTGCGCTGAACATCTGAATTTCTGGTTTCTATTAAGTGTATTGACATATGACGCAACTCAGCTGATTGAACAAAGCTGTCTGATGTCATTTGGGCTGCCTGAGGATGTCTTGCCATTCCAAAAGATTTGAGTCTCCAATAGTCCCCACGTCAAATTTGGCACTCCCATCAACCTTAGGACACCTTAAATGGCATCAAGCAACTACACATGAGGAGCCGGACTGAGTCCACTGTGCTTTTTGCTTTCACCAGAAATTCCTTTTGTTTTCCTTCCTCCTCCCTCAATTGTAGTTCAGATTTTATTCAGCAAATAAATAAGATTTGCTTTTGCCTTGTAGCTAAGAATGGGCTTATCTCCGGTCATCGGTACCAGGGTGTTTCAAAGCTGAGATAATGTCTTTATATATTTTCATCTGCGCGCCACAAGCATATTCTTTTAATGAGACTGAAACAAAGTTCAGGAACTGGCCAGTACTCAACGTCTGAGCTGATACTTGGATCTGACTTTGGCTTTACTACTTACACCAGTTTCTCCGACTAGAAACATAATAGTGTATGAAAATAGCACATCTTTTGCAGGTGGCTAATATTTAAGAACATTGTTCCTTTAAAATTCACTATATTTTCAAAGTAGGATGTGCATTGATGAGTATTTTTGGAATCAGTGTTGGGGTAAATGAAAGAAAAGATTGGGAATCGTTCCCTACAACGTGGATTTTGCCTGAAAGGGGCCAGATCTTCCACTGGTGAAAACTGCACGTTTGTGAAAACGCAGATGGTTTAAACTTCCTTGCATGAGTCATCTACAGCTTACTCATTTGCTTTTGTAGTGTGTGTCTACAAAATTCACAAGAGAGTGAGGAGTAAGGGTTGTCTTTGGGTAACTGGATGGCTGTACTTCAAGAACAGGTGACAATTTTAGGTTTGTGTTGTGCCTGCTTAAATAGTTATAAATGGAAACTGAGCATTAAGAAAGAAGCTGAATGCTTCAGACTTGTTAATGTATAAAGTGTTACTTTTTTTTTTTTTTTTAGATGGCAAAGAATTTGATGCGTTTGTGTCTTATGCAAAACTAGACTCTTTTGAAAGTGACTCTACTTTAATTAGTGAGGAAAAATTTGCCCTGGAGCTTCTTCCAGATATTCTGGAAAATAAATACGGATACAAGCTATGCATTCTTGAAAGAGATATTCTTCCAGGAGGAGGTAAGGTCACTGTAGATGGCAGAAAATCTTCAGTTCTTTATAAATATTTTTTTTCTCTTTCAAAAAAAACCCCCATGCATCAGATCAGCAAATGGTATGTTTTAGTACTGGACTTTTTGCTCAAATCTCATTGTGTTTTGATATTTCGCATCTGGCCCCTGCACCTGAGGTATAAGCACGTTTGAGTGTGGTCTCTGGGAGATACTAGGCTGAGACAAAGTTTCTTGTCTAAGAAGTTCTTTGCGAACAGTCTCCATTCCCTGAAAAGAAGACCCCTAATATTTCAGTAGTTACTTTCTGAGCAACTTTATTCGGTGCTACCTGCAGTAATTAGAAAGCCCTCAGTACCTGTTCCTGGGAGAAACAAAGACAAGTCCAAATGTCCCTCGACACCCTGTTTGAGTAGCAACAAAGTGTGCTGAGGTCTCAGCTGTGCCCACCACCTCCTGAGCAGCAAGTTGTGTTTTCCAGGCTGCGTAAGAATGGCTGTGGTACCCTCTGATAGCAAACACATTTCTAGGGGTTATGTGATTGCTCAGCATCCGTATTTTTGGTTTTCCTTATTTCTGGGTTTTAGCTGTTGATAAAGGAACTGGTAAGATAAAAAGTCCATTATAGAACGCAGTAATAATTGCCATTTCTTCTCCAGCATACACAGATGAAGTTGTTACAGCTATTAAACAAAGTAGACGAGCAATAATTATTTTGAGCCCAGCCTACATCAGCGGACCAAGCATCTTTGAACTGCAGGCAGCTGTGAACTGTGCGTTGGAAGACAAAAAGATCAAACTGGTATTAATAAAGTTCCAGGCTTTCCAAGAGCCAGAGACTTTGCCTCCAGTAGTGAAGAAAGCTCTTCGGATTTTACCAGTTGTTACCTGGAAGTCTTCTATTTCTGCTGCTCCAAACAAGAAGTTCTGGAAATATATGCATTATCACATGCCAGTGAAAGCTACTAAGATGTTGGGAAACTGCAGCCCAAAGGCCTTTTTCCAAAGGTCATTCAGCCTAGTATATCGATAGCAGAAATTTTGCAGAGGGATTACAGCGGGCTCAGGAATGGTGACATGACTGTAAAAGACATTTGCTATACCAGCTGACCACTGTGGACTGTCACAGCACTCAGAAATAGCTCACTATAAAACCTTGAGAAGGACTGCAGTGTGACAGTGCTGCAGCCCCCACAGTAAAACCAAGTGTTAGAAACTGCACACAACTGTGAATGTGAGCTATCTTTCATAAACTATTATATTATTATTATTTTAATTATATTTATTATATTTTTTTTTGCTGTGATGTTGAGACATACATGTGAATGTTTTGTTCTTTGCACTGTATGTCTTCTGGAATATTTTTGTACTTGTTTTCTAGAAAAAGATTAAAAAAGGGAGATCCAGAGGAAGCTTGCAGTTTAATTTTCCTGTGCAGTCCAGTGGGGCAAATCTGAATTTTTTAAATGAGTTACCTTCTCCTGTGGGAGCACCAAGGAAGTACCATGAGAGACTGCTATGACTGGGTATGCTGAAGGGGTTGAGAAAAGAAGAAGTGCTGTGGCAGGGCTGATCCCAGGTATCTCCATCCTTCCTGCAATGGGAGGAAGCATTCCTACCAGTTGTGAAATATTTCACACTTGGAGACACTTGCACATTGCTGGTCCTGTCTTGGAGACACTTGCACGTTGCTGGTCCTGTCTGGTGCTGGTGACTCATGAGTCCCACCAAACCTGTTGGTATGATGGGTGTGTTGCAGGTGTAGACCAAAGTCCTGGTTATAACAACTAGTAGGTTGCCAGGGACTCTGAAGTCTTTTCCTTGCAGTCCTCTGGCTGCTAACTCTCCAGAGTTCGTATCCCTTACTCCCAAAGCATCTTGCAGACTGTGTGTGTATGACTGTAGCTAAGTGAAATGCAATGGTTAGTGTTGAGAAAACCTGAGTAAGAGAGTCACTGATCTGGTATTCTGCTGACTTGATTTGGCCTTCAAGTTAACAAATCTTTGTTTTATAAGGCTAACTGAATAGCTCATCTACTAGATGTTGTGGTGAAAAGGGACTTCAAGAAATACTGCTTTATCAGGACCAGTGTGCTGAAAAAAAGAACTCTTTTGCAAGCAGGCTGAGCATTATCTACTTAATTTTGTATTGTGTTCAAAGCCTTCAGTGGGAGGACTGGTGGTGGTGCTGTGGGGCAGAAGCAGAAGATAGCGCCTCATGTAGAAGCAGACCATCAAACAGCATCACTGGCTGTACCACAAAAAAATGTTGACACTGCAATTGCACCTGAATTGGGCACTGACTTCAGATCACAGTAAACTTTTGAAGCAAATTTCCCACTTGTCACCACTTGTTGCCTTTTGCTTTGCACTACAGAGCATCCCAGGTGCACACACTGGATCCCTTTTCTACAGAAAGTCAAGGGGAAGATATTCTCCACCCATGAAGGGATACTCAGTCTGTGGGACCAGCTGGCCTGAAGGAATCCCCTCCCAAACACATGCAGTGTAGGTGTGGGGTCCTCAGCGCTAGTTGTTTTAGGGTACATTTTTGTTCTCACTAGTCTGCACTGTTTCCCAACACAACCAAATCAGCGGGCAATTTGAATAATTTGTCAGTAAATTAAATTTACTCGTTTCTAATGTATGTAATACAGGCTTTAGCAGCTTCTAACAACACTACTATGTTTGCACACTTTGTTAGCCTAACACTAAATGTGGTAGTTTTTGTGAAGGAGACAAGAGGCTGACCTTTTAAAAAAATGTGACATCAGGGTGAATGTTGGGTTGGAGGACAATGTGGTGATCCAGTAAATGCCTTGCTGGCATGAGTAAAACAAATGGCAAATACAGGGCAACTCAAGATCCAGTTTTAGGCAGGTGATGTGACTCAGACTTCCTCATTCTGTCGTTAGAATGCGCTAAATTACCTACGTGCATTTAAGAGAGAGAACACATTTCTAAACGAGGATGTAATTTGGGCGGGCCTCCACCAGATGTCCCTGCTGTAAGCCCTGCAGAGTCCATTTATTGACACACCGAGTCGTTTTGTTACCAGGTGAGACAGGAGCAGTGAGCAGTGCCAAGTGTGGTACCTGAGGTGCCAGTTGCACTGGGGAGGCAGAAGAGGAGTGAGGGCAGGAGAGGAAAGCCTAGAGCAGGCTCTCCTGCCTGCCCAGGGTGCCACCATCTCCCCTACCTGATGCTATTGTGCTGCGATTGCTGCCTGAATGGTATGCATTGCAACGTTTTTTATTTTATTTATTTATTTTTTTTTGACAGTGGAGAAAAAAAATCAGAGCGGCTGGATAAATAATGTAGTTGGAAAGGGCTTTTTATTCCTTAACAGGGTGATGCTGTGGCCAAGGTTTATCTGGGTCGGAGGAACCTGCAGAACCGGTATCTTCATACAAACTCCAGGTCTGTTTGTAACACAAGGAACAGGACAGGCACATTAGGGCTTTTAAAATGACCTCTAATAGGCAAATGAAGCAGCCCTGAGGAAGAAGCGGCTGTGGCTCAGCAGCGTGAATCCACAGGAGTGAGTGTTGCAAACCTTCATGCACCCACTATACGCTACATCTGTAATAAAACAGTCACAGCCCCAGACATGGGCTCTGCCGCGCTTGCACCCGCAAAGCTTCTCAGCTGGTTGCTGTTGCTGTTGAGTCTGGTGTGCTGTTCTGCTGCTGCTTATGTGGAGGAGCCCAACCCGAGCAAGGGTTTCTTGCCTCGCTATGAACCTGATCACGGGGGTGCTGTTGGCTCTTCACAAGATACGAGGCTACATGTTTTCACAGTGGACTATGACTATGTGCAGATTCCCTATGAAGTCACTCTTTGGATCCTCCTTGCCTCTCTTGCAAAAATAGGTAAGTAGAAAATGGGATCTTGGCTCCTCCTACCCTGGCAAGAAGTTAAAAACATACCATGTAGTCAAGTATCTTCCATGCATTTTTGTAGCTGGGATTGTTTTTACACCTTCTGCCCTCAAACGAACAGGTGTGTTCATTATCATGACAAAATTCCGCCTCTGAATGCTTCCATCTTAAGTAAATGTATTGTGACCTCTAACCCCCCTGTCTCTAGGGTTGTCTATGCTAGTGAGTGGCAACAAAGCTCCCCTACACAGTGCTGTCCATCCCTTTTCCTAGTCTTTAAAGATCACAAGATATCAGAATTTACAACCTGCCACAGCTGTAGAAGTCTGTAACACCAGACTGAGACTTCAAGCGTATTGAATTCAGGTGAGAAAATTGGGAAGAATTCCTCCATTGTGCAAATAATAGGAAACATTTCCCTGTGAGTCTTTGTTTTACACGTTTTCTGTTTAAAGTGGCTCAGAAAGTAATACCAGAGGAGAGGGACTGACAGTCTAAGAGGATGTAGGTCATCAGAGATGTAGGGTGAGTGCCTTTTGTATACATACCGATACACCTAGCTTCTGTTAGAGCTCTAGGTAGGTATCTGAATGAAGACAGACTACTCATGGAGAAGTAGGGGCTGCAATTAACATAGCAAAAGTCTTACACGTTTGCATGGCTGGGCTGAAATTATTTTGACCGCTCAGAATTAATGTAACAATATCAAATAAATGAAGAAGATAGTAACAATGTGAAGAGCTGCACACGCGATCTCCCTGTCCTTTTGAACTTTCCATGGGATTTTCAAACATTGCTATAGAACAGGCTGGCAGGTGGGGCTGGTGATTTTCTGGAGGTAGCCTGAAGATAAACATTTTTTATGTCATAGTCACGCAATTGCCAAAAATCATTACTGCTGGCCATGATTTGCCAGTTTCATAATAGCTGATGATCTCAATACAATTCCTATAAACAAATGTCTTCACTGCTAACATAATAATAAAATTTTTCACAAATCAAATTTGTTGTTATGGCATCAGCAGAGTGTGTTAGCAGTGAGCCTATTGATCAATTGCTTTATTCACCATCCATAAAAGCACAGGACTTGCCATATGGCACATCTACTCAATATTCTTGTTTTGAGCAAGAAATAGATACTTCAGAAGAAACTTTAGAAGAACTGTGTGATGCCTCCCAAGCAGACCTGCTCCTTAGCTGGGAGTTTTCAAATAATACTCTTTTATGAGTGAAAAGTGTGGAGCTGCTGACTTCAAATCTACTTGGAAGAAAGAGCCAGCCTGAATAATTTGGTTACCCAGAGAAGATGATTTCCAAAGTATTAAAAATTTTCAGTGCTTTATTCAGGTATTATTTTTGTTTCTGGATTTCAAGATTTCAGGGTGGGAAATATTTCTGAGGTCTTGAAAGGCAAAACAATCTCCTTATTATGTAAAACTGACAGAAGACTTGAACATGATTTTTTAATTAAAAAAGGAGATGAGTAATGTTAAGATCTTAACATATCTTTTGGTAAGAACAGTGTCCCAAATAATTATTTTAAATCTCATAAAAATATTTTTATTTGCCTTTACTTTTGTTAATTTGAGAGTCACAGAAATGCAGTCATGGCATTAGCTTCTAGAGTTATGGGATGACGGTTGACCTAGCTTCAGGCATGAAGACATAGCCATTGGTTATATAGATTTCTTAGTCTGCCTCATTCTCATTCTTGTAAACTCTGTAAAACTCCTTACATTTCTAGGAGAAGCACCTCTCGTTCGCAGTATGATTACACAGTTCCTGGTATAGCGACTAGATGAGCCATTGCTCATACTGTCATCATAGTATTGGTATCAGTATTTCTGTCAAATGGGAAGAATTATATGAACGCAGCTGCAGTAGTAGTGTATCAAGGTGGGGCAGGAGGAGATTGACACCCCCAGTATTTATATGGTAAGTGTAGCCTTTTCTCTGCAAAACAGCTTGGCTACATCTACGCTTGTAAACTAACAAGCACCCCATCAGAAAGCTCTGTGTGACAGTCCATGCCACACCAGTGTTGGTGTGCTCCTCCTCAGCTCTGGCCCACGTTGACAAGCCTTCTTCTCCCAGGCACTGCCCAGGCAGACGGTGGGCCAGGAACTGCTCCCTCAGGTAGTTTGGATGTGACCACTTCTTGCTGGGGCAGAGAAGAGGATTTGGCTCTACAGATGCAAGCTGAACTTCTCTGCTTGGAAAAGTCTTTGAACTGCTTCATTTGCTAGTGTAGACTCAGCTTTTATTCTAGTGAGGAAAAAAGTCCCTTAGGACTCATTATTTTCTCAGATATTTGATGGCTGCTGGTAGTCCCTTCAGCTCTGCTGAAATCACTGGTTTTGTTTAGTAAACTAACTCATAAAGTTCTTTAGGAACAACAGTTTTCCCAGAAAGGCAAGTTTAAACAGCTTGTACAAAGCCTTCTGCTACTGTGGCTTGATTCCTGCTGCTTTGGATATTTTGTTCATGAGTACTCACTCCCTCTGTCTGTGGATCACCTGGAGCCCATGCAATGCTGCAGGGGAGCGCTGGAGGTGGAGGGAGCTGAGCAGACTGTGGCATCTGAGCTGCTCCCTGCTCCCTTGGGCATCTCCTGGTTCCCGGTCAGCCCAATTCCAGCAGGAGCTCTGCAGCCAGGGACCCTCCTTGGCACTGGGGGGACCTGCCTTCGAACCTGCAGCCAGGGATGGGGGTCCCTGAGATGGGGGGACAATGCAGTGCCTCAGAGGTTTGGCAGTAGCGGTTGGGCAGCAAGAATTCCTGAAGAATATTTTCTTTCCAAATTGTGGAAAGAACTTTTCGAAGAGGTTTCTGCATTCTTATAAGTGGAGCTTAGACTCAGGCGCACTTGCTCAGAAATCAAGAGCTGTGGAGGGAGAAGAGAAGAGATTCATGGCCAAACTCTACCCCTGCTTTAGTGACACAAGTCCGGGAATATTTAATTTTGAAGGGAACATTACTGCCTGTTTTTACATTCATAATTCTAAGAGCAAAACCTGTCTATCTGAAGACAAAGTATTCAAAGACAGGCAAACTTCTGTATGACATCAGGCTAATTTAAGCTTGAATAACACCCTAATGTTTTACTCAAGGTTTCCATATCTATCACCGATTACCAAGACTGATGCCTGAAAGCTGCATCCTGATTGCCATTGGAGCAGCAGTAGGAGCGATCATCTTTGCTTCTGACCACAAATCTCCACCAGTGATGAACACAAGTATCTACTTCTTATATCTTCTTCCACCCATTGTCCTGGAGGAAGGTTATTTCATGCCGACTCGCCCATTTTTTGAAAATTTGGGGTCCATCCTATGGTGGTCTGTGCTGGGAGCTCTGCTCAACTCATTTGGGATTGGCCTCTCCCTCTACGGAGTCTGCCAGATCGAAGCCTTTGGCCTGACTGACCTGAACCTGCTGCAGAACCTGCTCTTTGGCAGCATGATTTCAGCTGTGGATCCTGTGGCAGCTCTGGTAGTTTTTGAAGAAGCCTCTGTTAATGAGCAGCTTTACATGATGATCTTTGGAGAGTCATTGCTAAATGATGGCATAACTGTGGTGAGTTTCTTTTCACTCCTTGTCTTCCCCTCTTTGGGCTCTTGTGGTGTGTAGGGTTATTGGGCACAGAGGAAGAGCAGCTCTGAGGAGATCCTAGATGCACCATTTATTCTATGGATACTCCACTCCATTACACACCAGTATTTGTAATGTCCGTAAAGATTATGTTGTATATTAATTCTTTCAAAAACATTGGTTTAGAGCTGCTGGAAGAGAGGAGCATACATATACACATTAGACATCACATCTTGTTCTTGTACTCACTGAAGTAAATGGATAAGATAGAGCTGATTTTGCTGGCAGGATCAGTATAAGCCCTAGGAATGTTCTTGACATTGTGCAAGCGAATGAACAGAAAATTGTACTGCTTATAGACTGAAGGTAGCAGGGGTAAAAAATACAGGAGACCCTGCCTTGTCACATGTCTTAGAGAGATCCTTCTGAAAAAAAAAAAAAAAAAAAAAAAGCCAGATGTGGACAACCTCTGGAGGCCACAGTCCTTCCTCCAGCCCCTTCTAGGAAGTTCCCCAGAGACCTTAGTCAGGAATTCCAAAATCCACTAATAACTTTGCATAACTCTCTTTCTATCAGTATAAAAATTGACACTTGACAAATGTTCACCTTTCTTGGCTGTCTAGTCTCAAGTGGCCTGAAACAATGCTTCTGGAATAAGAGAGATTTTTTTTTTTGTTTGTTTGTTTTTTTTTGTGTTTTTTTTTTTGTTGTTTTTTTGTTTTTTTGTTTTTTTTAATAAGAAAAGAGTGTTTTTACAGAGCTCCTATTGCTAATACTTTTAATCTTTTCTCATTAGTTCTACTAAAACTTGGAGCAACCTGAAATTCTAGCTGTAAACCACAAGTGACAAAAATACTTAAAACATGCCTGTTTTTCAAGGAAGAAATTTCAAGCAGGAAATTCATTGCTCAGAAACCAACAAGACTGCTCATGCGCAGCAAGTTAACTGCAGGTTAAGGAGTTCTACTAGATAAGATCTTTACAGAATTAAAATCACAAGAATCTAAACCACATAAAAACTGTTCAAATACTGTTATACATGAGGTACAGCACAGCTTAGACTCGTAAAATCTGTACAGAGTTCATTGCTGAAAGGCTTTGTGGGAGAAGTGCAGTTTATGAGTAACACAAAAGGGAAAAGGTATGAAGTAAGTTCTGGCAGCCACAGCCTATTGATCATAAATCCTTCCTCTTGGTGGATCAGAGATGTAGGGCTGATGTAGAACTAAGGGACAAATGTTACTTAACTTTATATGCAAACTGCGTATGTGTTATAGTTGTAACAACAAAAAAAATCCCCAGTGCACCTATCATTTCCACTTGTTTTTTTGGTTCTTCACGTGCAGGCCTCAAAAAAGTAACACCTCTTCCTCACCCTGGAAGGGCTTGTTTCATCCTTTTTTTGACTGGCTCTCTACCTTGCCTTCCCTTTGTTCCCAGCTGTTATTTATGATATGGGTCCAACTCATGATGGTATTTACCTGAGCTTTCAGTCAGCATCCTGTTACAGCATAAATGTGTAGTGACAGAAAGCCTTTAAAAACAGTGGTATTTAGGCATTCCTCAGCAGTGCTAGGTGTGTGAGTAAAAGAGATGAAAGGGCTGTGCATGAGGTGTATTGGCTACACCACTGTGAGTTCCCTTTGCCTCATGCGCCCTCATCTTTGGGGCTTTCAGTTTGTCAGGTCCTGTGGATGCATCTCTGCATCATCCACCTTGCATCCATTTTCTGGGCATTCAAGTTTTCAGAATGTCTATCTGTCTTCATGTCTGAGAAGACTGAAGCATTTGTCACCTGGATGGAACCCCATAGGTGGCTTTCTCCTCTCTGATACCCTACTTGCTTTTTAAAAGGTTTTAAAACTTTTTATCTCAGGTGTTCTATCTTGCTGTTTCCTCCCTGTTTCTTTCTTAACCGTTTCCTTTGTGTTAGCTCTATGTGTTTAGAAAGATAATATCACCAAGATATTTTAAGCACACATATTTTTTGGTTGTTTAAATACAAATATCCCCTGGTTCTCTCCAGTCTGCTTATCAGCTTGAACATTTTTTTCCCCAGCAGGAAACACTGGCATGAATTTTGCAGAACTTGTGTGTTACATTTGAAACAACAGTAACTCCCTCTCCTATATTTAGTTCAATACCCTGATATAAAAAATTTGCAAAATAACAGACTGTAGAATTAGGATGATGATTTAGGAGTTATGCCTTTGACTTAAGGGACTGGGACAAAAGTGGGTAATTTACTGGTTTATACTCATTTGTACTTTTTCCTGTTCTCCTCAGTAGGGCCATGTCTGTGGGTGGAACAAGAAGGTTTCAGGTCCTGTTAACTGCTTCTTTTCCCAGTTGCTTCTGAGCAGACTATTAGCATCAGGATAGAGCATACAGCGACAGGACTGGTTCTAGCATGTATCATACATTAGTGGAGTTTCAAAGCCTGGTTCAGAACAGTAATGTTGGTAAATCCAGTGAAGATTTCATTCAAAACTCAACAGAGGTGGAGGATTCTGACTTTGCTGCAAAGTGTTTCAGGCACCTGCAGCTTTGCTCCCACATACGCACAGACAATTTCTGTCTCAGCAGGAGCTAAGCACCTGTGTGCATCAGGAAATAGGATATTTCCCCTGACTAATTAATCACCGAGGCTTGATTTTAGAAACACTGAGAACACTTACACATCATGCTGCACTCACAATGAAGTGGCAGTGACTTTTCTCTATTGGTGCCCTCTCTTCTTTGTATGCAGTAGCAGAGCAATTAAAAAAATATACTGCATGATGAAGACCCAAGTAAAACTAATTTCTTTATTTAAGGGGATTTGAATTTACCTCTCTGATGTCACTGAGGAAGGATTTGACCACTGGGATGTATGGGTGCATGAGAAGAACAAGGGAGATATTCCCTGCTCCTGCTGTTGAAGCTGACCCACTGTGTTTAGAATTAAATTAAGTGCATGTGGTCAGAAAGAGTTATCAGGGTGGAAAGAAAGAGCTATCAAGGCTGCCTGTGTTGGTGGTTAAGGCAGTCACTTGAAAATCTTTTTTCTACTGCTTCTGATGTGGTTGGTACGTGAAAAGTTTGTATCATACAGACAGCTGAAGCAGGGACCAGTCCCAGGGGAGGTCCCCTGTGGGTGACAGTGCCGTGCCGTGCCGTCTCTTCCCCTCCCTGGCTCTAACAGCCACCCAGTGGTACACCACTACACGGGAATATCCTCTCCAAAAACCCCAAAGCATGACGTTATCAGAATTGTTAAATGAGGCCAACAATCAATCCACCCCTTCTTTTTGAGTGAACAAAGGCATCCTAAGCTGATTCGGGCTTTCCTACCATATAAAGAATTATAGTACTCAATTTACTGGCATAAACACTGCAGTGTAACTTAGCTGAGCAGCAGTTACATGGACCCTTACATGTATGACACAGTGCAGGATGTTGTACAGAACAGTTTGCTCCCACAAAGCATGCTACCAAAAAATGGATATTATATCATCTTTCCATAATTTCCATTTTAATGCCAATTCAGTTATACTATATAGACACTTTGGGAACTAGAAAAAGAGATAAAACCTTACTAAGTCATCTGCTGAGGATAATTCACTTTATTCGTAAGTCAACATAGATTAATGCCTTGGTATCTTTTATGAAGAATCACAAGTCTTAGGAAGAGGTTGAAGTCTGCAAGAAAGGGGGGGACAAAGAGAAAACAGGCTTTGTAATTAAAAGCTATATGGTAGGTACAGTAAGGTTTACTTGCTGTGGAGATACAAACCCTCTTTTCCTTATCTGCCACATTTCATACATACTCATCGGGAAAAGCAGCTCTGGGTATTTTCTCACATGAAGCATTTTGTTGTGCTTTGTATGTCTCTTAGAAATATTAGCAATGAGCTTCTTGGAGAACAGGCTGTGTGATAGCTCAAGGTCATATGTTCCCAGCAGCAATTTAAGATTAGATAGTAGCTGGGGAATCATTATTATCCTAATGAGCTTGACTCTTCTACCTGCAAATATCTGCTTTAATCTTCTTAATAGCCTTCTGGATTTAACTATATGAAGAAGAAAGACCAAAGAAAACCAGATAAGACAAATTATTTTGGTCCACTTTGTGTTTTTGAACTAATGTTTTGGTGCAACAGCTTTGGAGAGCTGGTGTCTTTAGATGTTCCCCAAATACTCTTGAAAAATGAAAGGTGACTTTCATATGCTATACACTCCCTGTAAACAGATCTGACAGGACTTAATGTTAACCTGCTCTCAGCAACCTCTAAGACCTTTTTATTACTACACTACTCATTGCTGTGGAAACTTTCTATTAGTTTCTAAAAGGTGGATGAAAGTGGAGCATACTGAAGATTTTTCATCACTAATTTCTGCAGAAAATAAATTATTGATAATAGAAGTGTGCTAAACTTATCTGTTCTAAAATGAATGAAATCATCTTACAGACCAAATTATGTAGCAATGTAGAAAATAGAGTCTTTTTTTTTTTTTTTTCTAATCTGACATTATTTTATTTTTATTTTTGTAATTTTGAGCTTTCTGGTCAAAATATATGTGTGAAGGATCTTTAGGCCGTTTAGAGTGCTACAGCTTTTGGTTCCACTTTGATATTGACACAGAGTTCCTGGAAAGGAGGTTAAGTGGCATCAACCCCAAAACATGTGAGACTAGGGAGGCTGTATGTATCTAGCTAGAGACAATGTGTAGCTGAGTCTCTCATTTTCCTTTCCCTTCCCTTTCCTCTCCTGCTTCCTTTTCCATTCCCAGTGATGTTTCATGATTTTCATGTGTCAAGTACTATGGAAAAACATTTAGCGTTCCAGCCTACCTACTGAAGTGTGCCCAGTCTACTGATCATACAGACAGCCTAAATGGTATTTAAATCAAAAGTGTGATTTTAGTCCCTGCCCTGCTCCATTCTGAGTCAGAAAGAGAATGTGAAGGGGATAGACTGTGGTTGGTAAGGTATCCAGCTGGGCTTTCAACATCTGTTACAAAGACCAATAATTAAGTGTACCTTCAGAAAGCAAAAAAGCACGAATATTTTTCAGTTATTTCGATTGCATTTGATCCCCCAGAGTTTTAGTCTTATTACATAACCATCTACCCTGCTTTTTTTAGTTTCTTTTTTTTTTTTTTTTTTTTTTTTTGCTATTTTTTGGGACACTTAACAGACCCTTAATTCTGGGACTTGTTAAGAACCAGTTGAGATTTCAACTGTTACTTTGCTGAGCTGTCTAAAGTAATTTCAGGCACATATATACACACACACAAACCCCGCTATGAAATGAGTAAGCCTTCCAGGTTCAGAAAGATGCCTGACTGCTGTCTCCTTTTTTTCACCCATAGGTTTTATATAACATCTTCATCGCCTTCACCCAGATGCACAGGTACGAAGAAATCGAATCGATTGATGTCTTTGCTGGCTTCGCTCGCTTCTTCGTGGTGGGGCTGGGTGGCGTGTTGTTTGGCATCGTCTTTGGATTCGTTTCAGCCCTCATGACTCGATTCACCCACAACGTTTCTGCTATCGAACCCCTGCTGGTCTTCATGTTCAGCTACCTGTCATACTTGTCCGCTGAAACCCTTTACATCTCGGGCATTTTGGCGTAAGTATCCCTTCTGACTTTTTGGGTGCGCTCTCAAGGGAAGTGGCATTGTTTTGAGGAGGTGGTTTGCTCGAGGTTGGTCCAATACAGGCATTTTCAGTCTCTGGCCTAGACATCTTCAGCGGATGGCTTCTAAGGGATCTGTCAAATGCAACAGTAACTGGGAACAGCAAACCCACAGTCAGCATAGGCATAGATGTACTACTGGGGAGTGCATATCTGCTCTGAAATTTTTTTACATTTTTGCCCATTGGAAAAAATCCTGCAAGCTGTGGGTAAAATGACTAGTGCTGCCACCGCCTGGCTGCTACCTCCGATTAGATCAGCAGAAGGAATGATTTGATAACAGATCATTGTATCTGTATTTATTTCTAGGCAGCATCACCATCAGCTTACAAGAGAGCTGAAAAGTAATGAGTATGGAAAACCTAATAATGAATGTCAGAGTTCTTTCTTTTGCATACAGCTGTGAACATCAGCTCTAACACAATTTATTGGAATTACATTACATTTGAACAGCATCACTGGAACTGAAACTGGGCAAAACCAGCCAACCGAGAACTTTGAGCACATATGCATAAAAATACTCGTGTGTATGAATACTGACAATCATATTTAGCCTGATACTGGTGTCATGCTGGGGACTGCTTCCTTAAAGTGCTGTGAAGGCAGGGGTGCATGCTTCAGAGAGAAAGCTGGCAGGTCTATCAACCACAGTAAATGCGGAGAGGGTGAGTATTGTGGGAAGAAAAGAGGATGGCGCCAGGAAAGGAGTCTGAAGAGAAAGGAAGGAATAGGGCTGAGAGTGACAGGCTTTACGAGAAAGCTGCTGGTAGGTGAATTTCAGAGACACCACATCAAACAGCCCCTCAGGAGGGTAAAGTGTGAAGATACGGGGACCTGATGGTGGTAAATGTTCCAGCTAGTGCTGCTGGCTGCTGCGGGCTCAGTGCCCAGCTGGGGGGTGGCAGCAGCCTTGCATGGCCTATGTTGGCTCTGACTTTGCATGCTGGGTCTTGTGGACACTGGTGCTCCAGAAAGGAGCTCCCTTTATTGAGGACAAACCAGTTTAAACCTAACAAATGGGTGTGGCTGTTGATGTCCAGGCATGTGCATTTACTCACCTTCACTTGTCAAACCCTGATTTCATAGAATCACAGAATGGTTTGGGTCGGAAGGGACCTTTCAAGGTCATCTAGTCCAACTCCCTGCAATGAGCAGGGACATCTCCAACTCGATCAGGTTGCTCAGAGCCCCATCCAGCCTGATCTTGAATGTTTCCAGGGATGGGGTGGCATCTTGCACCTCTCTGAGCAACCTGTTCCAGGATTCCACCACCCTCGTTGTAAAAAATTTCTTCCTTGTATCTAGTCTAAATCTACCCTCTTTTATTTTAAAACCATTACCCCTTGCTTATCACAACAGGTGCTACTAAAAAGTTTGTCCCCACCTTTCTGATAGGCCCCCTTTAAGTACTGAAAGGCCACAATAAGGTCTCCCCAGAGCCCTCTCTTCTTCAGGCTGAACAACCCCAATGTGTTTAGCTTTAGAGCAGAATAAGCTTTGTAAAAACAACCTTTTCAGGGTGACCCTGGGAAGCAATATTTGAATATTTAACCACATTAAACAAGTAGTTGGACAGGAGATAAGTTTTTCTGAGCAATTAGACAAAGCAGACAAATCTTGTACTATGTTTTGCATATCCAACACATTTGCTGTGATTGAGGTGACTGGTGAATTTAGTTGAGCAGGGTTAGACCCAGTATGTGGTGAGCACTAATAACATATGGATCCTTTCCTACCTGCACTGCCCAAAATACTGCTTCCCTGACTGTTCGTTACACTAGTACACTAGACTACATAGCTCTTTTTTTTTTGCTTCTTATTTTCATTACAGTGCTGAAATTATTAGTAATAAAAGAATGTTAATATAATTGGGATTTATTATGCTTACTGCTTCATTAAGGAAATTATTGCTTGTTTTAGGGATGGGAACTTATTGTCACCTTTCTGAATTATTGAGGAATTCATTCATTTTTCACTTGGATCATGAAAGTCTATTATGTATGTGTCTCTGAAAGTCAACAGAATTAAACATTAATGCCTAATGGCCTTGTCTTAGAGTGTCCTTGGACCTGCTAAATATCTCAGCTCCACCAGAATACCCTTGAGATGTCTTCAGTGGAAATTAAATGAGCAGAAACTAGATGAAGGGTTATTTAATGTACAGTCAGTGTTCTATGAATTCACAGGTTTGGAAAAATATCATCACAAGAAGCCCCAAAAGACTAAAATAATATCAGTAGAAACTAGATAGATGATGGAATATGTTGCTAACATAGCATTCAACCTATCTATTACCTATGACTATGAAAAATTAAGGGGGGGAGAGGAAACCCCCTTTGGTAGGGCTGCTCAAAGACTACTGCTCTGTGCAATTGCTACCAACGTCTGTGCTGGGTCGCTGCTGATGCCTCTGGAGCAGATTTTAGTCTTCATCAACAGCCAAGAGGTGGAAAACATCCCTTTGCTTCCTTAGGCACGTTCCCCACAACCTGGGAGAAGGAAACCTCTGGAGGATAACAATTTCCCTCCCCTCTACAGCAATGGGCTGCTGTTGGTGGAGTCACTGAAGCTTACCTGGGGCTTGCTGATCAGGTTTGGCCACAGCCTACGACTACCACCATGTCCTCCCACCACCAGCTGAAAGGAGAAGATCACTAAGTGGAAGGTTACGTCTCTCTAACCGATCTGTCCGTAGGCTGGTACAAAACCAACTTACCCTTTGTTTGAGACTCAAATATTTGGTGCTTGGTGGTTGTGTGTTAGGCATTCAGGATAAAATGGACTTTGAACTGGAATGTGATGGCCTCACTTCCTCATCAGGAAAGCTGACTGGTTTGCTTCCTTTTTCCTGTATGCAAAATAGATTTGTAAAACTGAATGAAGATGCTCTTCTATCTGTTGAAATAGCTAACATTATTGAAGAAAAAATAATGCTTCTTGATATTAGGAAGGTCAGAGGCTGGTGATGGAGAATGCAGGTAACGAAGGCTGAGGTTGTTCTTAAAAGAAAAGAAAAACAGGTTGTGGCTGATCTCTGATGTTTTGCCTGGTACAGGATGACGGCATGTGCAGTGACGATGAAAAAATACGTGGAGGAGAATGTTTCCCAGAATTCCTATACCACAATAAAATATTTCATGAAGATGCTGAGCAGTGTCAGTGAGACCCTGATTTTCATGTTCATGGGAGTGTCTACAGTGGGGAAAAACCACGAGTGGAACTGGGCCTTCATTTGCTTCACTCTGTTCTTCTGCCTCATTTGGCGGACACTGAGTAAGTCAGCTTTTGGGGACAATATGATCTCCATCTCTGAGAGAAACCCTTTGGTGCAAAAGTGTGTTAGAAAAGTCTGTGCAGGCTGGTATAACCACTTTCATAATGAATTTACTAAGCATATTTTACTGACAAGTTAATTTCACAAATCTACACATGGAAAAAAGGGAGGAAAAAAAATCCAAACAAATCTGAATGCCAGTCTCCAAGCACAGACTTTATGTAGGTAAGAATGGAATATTTTAAGCAAAATTAAAATATTATCATGATTATGCCTATATATATGTGCTGATATCTTAGTTAACTATATGCCCTTGGGTAAGTGGGCTTCGTAATGATTTAATTGCACACTGTAATTAACTTACTAATTAGATAATGTACATCACCACACTTCTGCTGCTATAACACTACAGGTCCTGGGCCAGGGGTGCCAGTGGCATTGAAAAAGAGGGAAGGTGAAAATTAACACTGATAGATAATTGACAGACACTCTATTTCCTTCCTTATAGCACATATAGGCCAACCACACTATGCTACTGCTCCTCTCAAGTCAGCTCTGAAGTTTTAAACTGCTAGCAAAGAGTGCCTGTTTGAAATTACTCCATTTCTACACACACTATCTCCCATTCCTGCAAAGGTCTCCTATTCCCTAATCTGTGAGACTGAGGTACCTCCAGCATGAGCAGGGCAGTTTATACATGGTGTCACACAAACTGTGGGATGCAATTTCACATCTTATTCTAATGTCCAGGATGGGTTGACAGTAATGTTGAAAAAGGAGAAGTTATAAGAAGGCTGATGGTGTTCTGGAGGTGGTAGCAGTCCTGGCACTGACTTTCTGCACAAGCTGCTCTTGTGCCTGTTAGACAACTTACTGCAACTGTGGAAGTGGAGAGGCAAAACATTGCCATCTTCTCCCTCATTTACTAGTACCATCCAGCCAAACATTCTAAGAAGGAATGGCCTACAGGTCAGACCAACCCTCTAGCAGCGTCTTCAGTGGAGCCTGCAGAAGATGCTAAATAGGACAGGCTTGCAAGCCTGGCCACCGTCTGAGCTCTGCTCACCTCCTACTTCCTCAGCATCTACAGTCCTTGTGTTAGGGATGGGAGAGGGTACACTCCTTGCCTGCGATAAACAAGGGGCTGGTTTGGTCCTGTTGCCCATGAATTATGCCATCCTTTTTTTGAACCTGAATACTCTATTCTGCATCAGGTTAAGTTACACCTGCTGCATCAGAAAGCAAATGCATTTACTCCCGGAGAGGTGAAGAATTGTGGAACGCACCCTACTCAGCCACTGTTATTTTTTCACTTAAATTTAGTTAAAAATATGAGTGAATGATGATTTTGTAATGAAAGATGTTTTGAACACACAAGATTTGTGTACACACAAGAAGGACAAAAATACAGTTATGCAAGCAGCCTTATTTCTGACACTTTTTAAGTTCTGAGTGCCTGAATTCACCATCTTAACATTCTTTTTGAATTTCAGTAAGTTTTTTTCAGAGTAATTGATGTTTTTAAAGAAAATGAGAAATGCAAGTATACCATTGGGTGGCCTTGGAGGAGATATTCTGAGCACTGAAATTTAGGCACCTACCTTGGCTATCTAAGTTAGTAGTTAGTTCCCCCGTGCCTCATTTACACTCAAAGGAGGCTTCTCTAGAGCATCCTGTGAGGCAGAAATCAACACCGGGCACCTGCCATCACCTCCTCCAGCCTTCAGCCCTCGCCTGTTTTCCCTTTACACTCAGAGCACAGGCTTGAGCTCTGGGCATGGCCCCTGCATCATCTGTTACAGTATTGAGGAGAAACAAGACTTGTCAGGTGCTTCATTGGGCTCAGCTGTGCCCTGAAGGGGAGGGCAAAAAGGGATTGATAAGAAACGGCAAGTGACAGTTTCCGGAGACTGGTTGGTGAATCAACTGGGGAGTAGGCTTTGTCTACTCTACCACTCACAAAGAAGGAAGAAATGGCTGAAGATGTTAAGACTGAGGGCAGCCTTAACTGCAGTGACCGTGAGACTGTGGAAGCTAAGATCCTGAGAGGAGTAAGCAAACTGAGAAACAGCAGAATTACAACCCTGGACTTCAAAGAGTGGATTTTAGCCAGTTGAAGTGGTTGTTAATGTGGGAAGGGAATTGGCTGAACCACTGGGCTCAAAATACTGATCTAGCTGGTGGCTAATGGCATCCCTTGGGGCACAGTACAGGGATCGGTATTGTTTTAATGTCTTCATTGGTGACCTGTAGGGTGTAATGGAGTACACACTGAGCAAGTTTGTGGCTGAAATCAAATTGTAGGGAACAGTCAATATTCTGGATGGCTTCCGTTCAAAGGGACCTGGTCAGGCTAGAGAACTGGGCTGACAGAAAGCTCATGAAGTTCAAGAACAGTGCATGTAAAGACTTATATGTGGGTTGGAATAACTTCATGCACCAGTACAGGCTTGGAGTCTAGTAAGCAGCTCTGAAGAAAAGGACCTGGCCTGGTAAACAACAGGTTGAGCAGAAGCCAGAATTATGTCCCTGTGACAAAGAAGAGCAACCATGTCCTGGGCTACATTAGCAAGTGTGTAGCCAGCAGGTCCAGCAAAGTGTTTCTTCCCCTCTCTTTTGCACTTGTGGAATTGTGTGCTGTCTCCAGAATGCTGTCTCCAGTCCTGGGCTCACCAGCTTAAGAAGGACATGGAAATTCTGGATCAAGTGCAATAGAAGCCACCAACCTGGTCAGAGGCTGAAGCACTGGATGTACAAGGAGACCCTGAGAATGCTGGGTCTGTGCTACCTGGGGAAGACCTGATATGGCACAGAAGACACCTTATTACTGTCTACAAGTATGTGATCAGTGGAGAGAGAGAAGATAGAGCCAGGCACTTCTCAGAGGTGCGCAGCAATAGGACAAGAGGCAACAGACACAAGCTGGAACACTGGAAATTCTGATTAGACAATAAGAACCCATTTCTTAACATGAGAGTGATCTAATATTGTACAGTGGCCCAGCTCTCCATTCTTAAGGCTATTCAAGACTTGAGTGGAGCTTTGAGCAATGCGATCTGCTTAGCTCTGTTTTGAATAGGTGCTTGGCCTAGATGACCTCCAAAGGTCCCTTTCAGCCTGCAGTACTCTAACATTTGGGACCGGCTAAGTGTTGGCATCAAACATCCAAGATGAAGGTGCTATTTTTTAAATCGCTCAGGTGGTTTATTTCTCAGTCAAGAAGAATGCCAGACCAGGAGCAAGATTTTGGCTTGACCCTCAAAACCCATACACATTTCAAGACCTTTGACTTTTAAGACTGGAAGCCCTGGAGGAAAGCATTTAACCAGAGGAAAAAGAGAAAAGGGGAAGCCTGTGAAGGCTTGAGTACCTTCATCTGAACAGCTCTATTATATAGGGATGACACAAGTACTCAACAGGAGAAGTGATAGGATACTTGTGGGTTGACAGCAAAAAGCAAGTAATTAAATATTTTCTTGCTAATCCTGGACCCAGCATGGCCTCTAAGTTTTTAAAGGCTCACTTTCAGAGGGAATATACCTCCAATCAGGACAGGAAAAGTGCTCTCCTGTTAAAGAAGCTATTTTTCTGCCACATGTCCCTCCTTTTCTCAAACACCAAGGGGAGTGCTAGAGCTTTCCAGAGGAAGGCCAAAATATTTTCTGCTAAATTTGTTTGCTAAAATGATTACATCATCTTCTCTGAAGCTTGAATAAAGTAAAGAGAATTGGCCTGAAGGTGATACCTCACATACGCAGTTTCAGTCTGAGTAGCTGATGACTAGCATAGTGATAAGTAGACAAAGAAGGTGTTACATAAAGCAGTATCCTGCAACCTACATAACAGGATACTGCTACTGGCCTTACCTATAATAATTCACTGAATTTATCAGTGACAGCTGTGTAAAATAATACCAGTAATTATCAGCAGTTCTCAGCTTTTACTTCAGTAATGTAACAGTATCCACACAAAACACAGAATACCTGTTACTTATGGAAGATGAAGAAGATTAAGAGTAAATCAAGCAAATTGTTAAATGTACTCTATAAAGAAAAGCTGCAGTCTGTACAGAGCCACAGGCTGTCTGATTAATTTTAACTTTTATTAAAAACAAAATTAAATTTGAGAAATAAACAGAGAATTAGAGACACAATAAACCAGAGTATTAAAAATTAAAATGCTATTACTCTTTGCCTTTCAGTGAACCTGTCCACAGGACTTGTTGGTAAAGCACTGTTCAAACACTTTGGGCAGATACTGTGCAGAAAGCAGGAAACCTTGCAAGGGAAGGCACAGGAAAAACTCTCATCTAGTGGCTTGTCTTGTCTCCAGAATACTTCAGAGAAGAACTGTGCAACACAATTATAGAAAGTAAATCTTTTCCCCTAATCTCACTTTTAAACTGCATAAGTGAATTTAAATCCTGAAGCAGTTAGCAACCATTGTCTTTTCTAGTAGATTATTTCACACAGAACAGTTTCAGCAGTTGATCAAAGAGAAGATACAAGAACCCAAAATTGAAAAGAAAAGTATGCCGACACCTGCTTGACCCAAGTTGTTGTTTTGATTTAAATATTTTATTTTTTCACCTTGCTTAATAATTGTTGTGGTTTTTTTTTCCCTTCCGAGGTGTATTTGCTCTCTTCTACATCAGTAACAAGTTCCGAACATACCCCTTCACCTTCAAAGATCAACTCATTATTTCCTACAGTGGCCTTCGAGGAGCCAGCAGCTTCTCTCTTGCATTCTTGCTTCCAGTAAATCTCTTCCCAAGAAAAAAATTGTTCATTACTGCTACCCTTGTAGTTATATATTTCACCGTGTTCATCCAAGTAAGTGTATTTCTTAATGGATTGTTTTCATGTGCCAGAGGTGACCAAAAGCTTCATAGTAAAGATTGCATTGAATTTACTCTTAAACTAGGACAAGCTATCATATTTTATGTCCAGATTTAGCACTGCATCGTGTAATTACCCCTTCATGGATTTTCAGGTGTCATTAAATAACTTTTTCTGTATTGAAAATCTGTGTCTTCTAAAACACTCAGGGAAAAGGGTACTTTGTGTCCAAAAGCTCTTATGTTCACACCGCATGTGCTTCCTAATGCATTTGAAATATGAAGCATTTTAACTTTACACTTCAGAACAGAATCATTCTCTGCTAGGGGTGTATCTCAAACTGAACAGAACATAATATCTCTGTTTTATGAGGGATTTTGAAATTTTTACTTTTATCTTCATTAATCTTGGAGACCAAATGAGAACATTTTGAAATTCTTTGTAAAAGAATATTAAAGGCAAATGAAGTAAGCAATTCAGATTTGTAAGAATAGGTGTCTGGTGCTATTTCAGATGTTTGGGCTCTCCCACCTGGCCTACAATGCTGTACCTGAAAGAACTGGAACTTCTGGAGGTCTTGCACCACATGTTCTGTATTTTCCCACCCAAATATCTCAGATACTTTAGAATGTCAACAGGGCACTATGCACTTGTGGTTAGGCACTTAGATTCCACCAGAATGTTTCAGAAAAAAAGTTTGTTTCCATTTCCCCTTTTAAATGTTATTCTGTAGCAATGCAGTAAAGAATTGGAAACAGCTGAAAATGTTTTTTAAGTGAAAAAACCCCTAAAATATTTAATTCTGAAAATGTTGAAGCAAGAGGTTTCAAGACTGTAAGAGCCTCACAAAGATAATGTTTTCTTTCAAGTGAGTGTTGTTTTGAAGAAGATTGGCAGTGAGTCAGTTACTTTACATGTTGATAAATACAATCTTGCTTAAAAAAAATCTGGTGCGTAATTTTTTTTTAAATTTTTGAGTTTTAATTCTCTTCCATAGCTCTCCATATAAGTAACAGATCATTCTACTGTCTAAGACACAGCTTTTCCAATTGATTAAAATTAAATCCTTTTGCTTTCTTTATGCTTTTTCTAAAAGATAATTAACAGTTCAACTCATCTTTCCAAATACAGGGAATCACAATTGGACCATTGGTCAGATATCTAGATGTTAAAAAGACCAACAAAAAGGAGTCCATCAATGAAGAAATTCATGTCCGAGTAAGTTTTCTATAGCAGTAGCTGGTATCCTAAAAAGAAGAAGAGAAAGGGTGTTCCAAAAGAGCTGAACAGAGGGAGGCATTTGGCAGCACTGGCATTCAACAGATTTGGACACTGAACGCTTTTAACAACATTTGGAGGAAATCCTAGGCATAATTTTCAAAAATATGTTATCTCACTTGTATTCACAATGACTGTTATATTATAATATTGTACCACAGCTGTCATGGTGTAGCAGGGCCCTTCTTCGTATTTGTGACCATGGGAGGACAGAAGCATAAAGGTAGAGTTCACAAAATGCACTCGTCATCCTTCCCAGCTAGATTTGTCAGATGGCAACCTTTGTTGACATCTTTCGACTGGTTCTAGATACACTGACACCTTAAAAGTTTTTAATCAAGTTTTATTGAACTGAAATGAGTTGAACCATTGGTCTACAAATTTAGTTCTAAATTATTTTGAGTAATAATCTTCTTCCCTCTCAAACATTTGCTTTAGCTCTCAAATTGCCATTATATAAAATAACAGAAAGCTGCTCAAACTGACTTAACACCACTATACAAAACATACATACGTGCCTTAATTTTCACAATAGGGAATATATTTTAAACTAAGAGACACATTGTGCCTTAAAATAAAGCACATGCAGAGACATTAGCAAAATTAACGTGTCTCAACTGATTTGAATTTCAAGTGAATTTAATTCTTACTACTCCAACCTTGACACTTAACATTGAAAGGAATTTATATTTAAAAGCATCACTTACATCAGCATGTAAGAATTGGCTATTTCTCTGTTTCTATAATGCTTGAAACACACAAAATATGACTGAAAATTCTGATAGTTAGTAGTGATGAACTTATCATTCTCATGAAAATTTGCAAAATCCACAGAGGATTTGTCAGTCAAGACAATGGTTAAGGTGTGGGGTACCTGGCCCTGTGCCCCCCTCAGGGAAGTCACACACGCAGAAGGTAAACTTGGTTGACAGACTCAAGAATTCTGTTTTTGGTCTCAGTAGACAAAGAGGACCAGATAATTTGGATGCTCAGTATCATCTCCCATTGGACCTTTCCTTGTGCCTATATGTTGCTAGGTGAAGGTGAGATGACAGCAGACTGACAGACTTGTTGCCTCCATCAAAATATTGTCACTGCAGCCAAGCATAGAAGCTGCCACAGTGGGATATTTGCCTTGATTTTTAGAGAAATGTAGACACTTTGAGTTATTTCACACCCCCCAATTAAAAAAAATAGCAAAATCCCATCAACAGTTGTGTATCTGTGGTGACATTGTTTTCTCATAATGGCCATTTAAATTTTTTCCATGTTTGTTTCTCTAGTTGATGGATCACTTGAAGGCTGGTATTGAAGACATATGTGGACATTGGAGTCATTATCAGCTGAGAGATAAGTAAGCATCTCTTATTGCAGCTTACTATAATAAAATAACCTATCTATCTTGTAAAATACAATAGGTAAATAGAATAGGCAATCAATCTTGTGCCCCATAAAGCTAAAATAGCATGAAAACATGGGGGATGTGTGCAATATCTCTTTTTAAAAAGTGAACTCCTGAGTAACCATTATCTCTTGGGAGTGCAGTGCTCATATATTGCCTGTTGAATTGCTCCTGCACAAACAAGCAGAAAATAAGTCTTCTGAAAGTAAAACATAGCACATGAACTCAGGCTGCAGGCATCAGCCTGTGCACATAACTTTGGCATAAATCCTAGATCCATAGAAGTGATCCTTTAGGTCTGGATTTAGAACAGAAGCTACATAAGGTGCACCTGCTTCATTGAGTTTTGCTGTAAGTCTCCACGGCAAATATCATCCCTTGTTGGTGAGTACAGAGTCAATATTAATTAGTCACCTGTCCTTACAGGTCTTTGTATTCAGTAATATTTAAAATAACAGTACTGAAGTTAATGGTTGAATTTAAATATCCAGTAGCATAAACAGATACTTTCAAGCAGGTCTTCACTTAAAAATGCAGGACCTGTGTTGTGTCTTCTATAAGCAAGATGAGGTGGTTTTGTGAAACTTTGTGGCTCTTCCAGGCACTGTCCAGAAGAGATGGACCTGCCACTCTGAGCTGCTCTTCCCTTTACCTTTCCCCTAAGGGAGCCCTGTGATCATGTTGGCCATCACCACAGCATGTGAAGGGAAGTGTGGTGGAGGCTAATCTTCCTTTTCCACAAACATCGTGTTCTGATATCATGGGCTAAACGTTAGCCATTAAGCTATGACCAGACTTCTGTGCTGGAGTCGTCTGCCTCACTTCTCAGCATCGCACCCCAGTAATCCAGCTGGGAGCCTGCTGGGACACGTGGCAACACATTTCATGACCGCATTTCTCCCTATGGAAATCAAGAATTAAGAGTGGGAAAAAGGTGGCTGGTTTGTACCCAGTTCTTGTCCCGACAGGGAATTATGTTTCTAGGGCACATACCTGGACCAAGAAGATAAAATGTCCTCTTGGCTCTTCAAGTACAGAGATAGCTTTAGGATGTCCATTGGGACCACACTACTGCCTGTGCAGTCAATAAACTAAACAAATCCCTCTTGGGGCAGTAACTCAATTGAAATAACTGCATTTTCACATATCAGTGAGAAAATGTTATTTCCCCTTATCTCACATCTACCCAACAGCTATGTAAAGAAAATTTTGTCCAAACTGGTATAAATGTAGTGTTTCAGTTCAGGGGCAGATTCAAACAACACACTGTATATGAAAACATTTAATGTAAGAAGATTGTATTAAAAGGTATTCTCTAGACTTCAAGATGTTTAGCAGATGTCTATCAGAATTAATTACCTAAGTGATGACTCTCCAGGAGGCTTTCTGTTACACAGGAAGACATAAAGAGCTCTAATCCCAGTGGAAACATCTGTGTATCTATCTCTGCTATTAGTGTATAAAAACTAGCCTGTGTTAAGAAAAAATGTACAAATTCTGTAGTGCTTTTCCTAGCATTGTGGAGCATGTTACCGTGCCGTGGTAAACTGTTCCTTTGAAAGAAACATGTAAGAAGATCTGCTGTTCTGCTAAATATCTGCCTGAAAGCACATACCTGTTCCAAAGCATGCACACACACATATTCACATTCAAATTATGCCACACATTAGTGATATTTTATAATCCGCAGCATGCGAGCACATAGTATTTTATGGTCCATTCAATTTCTCTGTTATTCAGAATACAAAGAAATGTATTTTCTCTGCTTTAATTGTCAGGATTCAAAATTATAAGCAACATAATGGGCCCAAACTACTGTAACTGCTGGGCCATTTAGAGCCTCATTGGTGTCTGGCTGAATAGGCCAGGATTACTGTAAGAGCAGCTGCTGCTGTTATGCCCTACTAGAATACAACATTTGTACAAAAGCGTGGAGACTGGCCATATTCTTTTCTGACAAATGTGGCGGTGTTATATGCAAACACACACCCAGCCCTCTTTTTTGCTCTGATTGCAGCTTGTTTCCTTCCTTTGTCTGGTGGGCTTTGCAATCTCTGTAGGCCAGTAGACCATGCCAAATGTCTCCCTAAAGGTCTCTGCTCACTAGGCCTTCAGGAGTCCACAGGTGCCTCCAATTTAGATTCAGTTTCCACCACTGAATTTTACATGTGTTCATTTGAATGAAGATCAGCTTGTACCACAGAAATAAGAACACATTTCCCTTTTTTATACTTTGATTTTAATATCTCTTTTGCAGATTTAAGAAGTTTGACAATAAGTATTTGAAGAAATTCTTAATTCGTGAACACCAGCCCAAATCCAGCATTGTGTCATTGTACAAAAAGATGGAGATAAAACTGGCCATTGAGATGGCTGAGAGCGGCATGAAAATTTCACAATCATCCACAGCTTCTTTACAGTGAGTACTGACCTCCTGACCCTTTGCAGAGTAGGGTCAGGAAGAAAGGGGACAAAAATGAGGAAATACCCAAGGAATTTTATGACTTCAATAGAAAGGCAAGAAAAAAAAAAAAAAAAGCAGTTGTGAAAAGAGAAGTTGCTGGTTTATGTTGGCAGTTTGGTGTTCATCATATTTGCACTTTGGCTCTTTGTTCACAGAGTGAAAATTAAAACCAGGGACATTTTCTCTGTTTCTCTTCTATAATGGGCAGTTCTGAAAAGGAATCATGAGTCAGGTGCAGAGGCCACTCTGCTTTAAATCACAGCAGTGGTTCAAGGTAGCTGTACTTGTCACTTAGCTGGCCAGTGGGTGTTGCTCATCACTGCTAGGTGCCGAGAGACCTGCAGGAGAGCTCAGAGCACATGTCCAGACTCCATTACCCCGGTCACAAATTTTTGCAGAGAGCAGATTTCCTTGTAGCATTTGCAAATCTTTGCTGCTTCAGTTTTCAGACCCTCAAACTGTCTTGCCATGTTTTGGTACTTCCATACCAAATTAATCCAATTATACACTGAGAGCAGCCCCGTGGAGAAGGACTTGGGGGTCCTGGTGGATGAAAAGCTGGACGTGAGCCAGCAATGTGCATTTGCAGCCCAGAAAGCCAGCCATGTCCTGGGCTGCATCAAGAGCAGTGTGGCCAGCAAGTTGTGGGAGGGGATTCTGCCCCTCTGCTCCTCTCCGGTGAGACCCCCCTGCAGTGCTGGGTCCAGCTCTGGAGTTCTCAGCACAGGAAAGAGGTGGACCTGTTGAAGCGGGTTCAGAGGAGGGACACAAAAATGATCAGAGGGCTGGAGGACCTCTCCTGTGTGGACAGGCTGAGAGAGTTGGGGTTGTTCAGCCTGGAGAAGAGAAGGCTCTGGGAAGACCTTATTGTGGCCTTTCAATACTTAAAGAGGGCTCATAAGAAAGATGGGGACAGACTTTTTAACAGTCTCTGTCACAACAGGGCAAGGAGCTTTAAACTAAAAGAGGGTAGATTCAAACTAGATATAAGGAAGAAATTTTTTACAATGAGGGTGGTGAAACACTGGAAGAGGTTTCCCAGAGACGTGGTAGATGCTCCAACCCTGGAAACATTCAAGGTCAGACTGGATGGGGCTCTGAGAAATTTGGTCTAGATGAAGATGTCTCTGCTCATTGCAGGGGGATTGGAATAGATGACCTTTAAAGATCCCTTCCAACCCCAACCATTCTGTGATTCTATGATTCTATGAAACAGTAATGTAACTTGGCATTGCACAGACCAGAGGAGAAAGCTAGTGAGATCTCCAGAGCTATCACTGAGGGAACTACCCTCTAGGAGAGAAGTCTGTACAGATCTTACTCCTGCATACTTTAACTGCTGTGAATGTATTTCTCCTCAACTTGGAACCAACTGTCCAGAGTCTGGGTATTGCTAATGGCACTTGCCCCCACAAATTCTTTCCTGGGGTCCTGCATATTCTTTTTTCAATGATCATCTCAACTCATACCAGAAAGTCCAAATACCAATTGGGTGTTAAATTTAAATCTCTTTTGAAACTTTGGCTCCATCATGTCAAGAATCATCTGCTTTCTTGAAACTGATGTCAGCACGCAGCATAAGACCTAGCCCTTTTCTTTCTAAATCATCCTTTGCTGAACAGATGATATTAAAAAAAGATTGGGTGTCTGTCAGGCTCCTTTCTGTCTGCTGTATTCCCTTAAATGTTCTGAGCCAAGAGAAAATGTGCAAGGTTAGTAGACAATCTATGTCTATCAAACCACATTCTTCTTCTTTTCTTGAGGGAAAGACAAAATAAGACAGATTGCTTCAGCATAATTCATAAATTCTCTCCAGAGCAGGGAATATAGACTGAAAAATATTCTATAATAAACAGCCGAGATGATGGACTAATTTTTTTCCAGCTCTATTCCAGCTGTAATTGAATTTTACTGTCCATCAATCTCTGATGCACAGGTTATCCTACTGAGACAGCCTGTTTAAAAATGAAGTACCAACTTCAAAAAACTAAGTGCAGCCCATGGCTCAGAAACATCCTGATTCTTGGAGGCTGTGAGAGTGTTCTAGGAAAAGATGTTTTCCCAGCTCTGTTCATTAATAGGTATCCACTGTTGAGCACTGGAGGAGACAGGATAGTGAACTAGTTGGATCTTTGGTCTGAGCCAATGCAGCAGTTCTTATATCTCCATTCTCCTGAGCAATTAAGTAAACCTGCTTAAGACTAAAAGGTTTCTAAATGTATTTGTAAACTGTTTGATTGCTATCATTGAGTTAGCTTGTACCTAAAGTCCCTGTCTTCAGTGAGGATACAAAAATCTGGCCACGAGCAAGTGGAAATTTGAAGTAAAATTTCAATGTATGGCGTGTAAAGCAATATTTACAGTGCCAAAGTAGTGAGAAAACTCTCTCACTAGAGCTTCTGATGAGTTCTGCAGACTTTAGGCACACGAGGGGAAATGCTTTGTAACAATCAAAGCAGACCTCCATTGCAGTGAATTATCACCATTCTCAGAAATTTCATTCATGATGGTGTGATTCTTGCAGATGAAGTGGGTGTCCAATATGCAGTAAGTATTTCCAATGTGGACTGGAGAAATTTGCCCATGGACTGTGCAACAAAGAATCCACATTTGAATTAAAATAGAACATTTCATTATGGTGTTTTGAAGAATATAAGCCTTAGAAGTGGCAAAAGCAGAGCCAAGCAGATAATATCAAAAATGTGTTTGTATGGATGGTTTTTTTTTAGGAAATATTCCCACTAGAGAAAGATGATTTGATGCTGAGCTTACTTAATGTTGGCTTCATACTACTGCAAGTATCTTGACTTGGGTAAGAGTAAATCATAGAATGTATCTATACAGTACAGATCAGAAACAAGTGCCATGTTGTCATTTGTGGTGGTACAGTTCTGCAAGAGTTGTGTCTGATGAATGTTATTGCCTTCACAAGACTAGTGAACATTGGTGGAGAGTTCACAAAGCTCAAAATTGTACATAGAGCATATGAAAAATAATACTGCCAGGTTTGTGGAAGACATTTTATTTCCTCCATGTATCAACTATCTTCATGTCTAAGGAAGAAACAGATGCTGTCATGGTACTCATTACAGAGAGACAGTCAGTTTTCATAGTATGTTATAATTTCAGTATTTTTTTCACAAATACATCTCCTGTGCTGTGCTTTATTGTAACATGCTGGAAGTTTCAGTAAGAACAAAGACATTTTTTCTATAAGGATTGCTTTATGGGTTTGGTAACATACCAAACTTATTTGGGTTTTTTGAAAGTTATTTTTTAATGTACTGTATATTGCAAAATGTAAAAGTAATCTGTTCCTTATTACCATACCTGTGCATTGTTATCAGCTGGGTAGGTTAATATATAATCCCATAAAAAGAATACACATTTTTTATTTATGATCCAGAACAATGCAGACTATCATCATGTTGTTTGTTCTCTTGCTATCCCAGCTCAGCTGAAACTCAGAACTTTATTTATTTTATTTAAGTCACCTTAAGAGCAAAATGATAAGCCATTCAATGACTTAGGACCAGCCACTTCTGTGCTGGCATGTGGAGGGGGTCAGCTGTGCAACTAGAAAAGTAAAGAGATGATCTGATGTCTTCCCAGTGGTGTTCTGCTTTCTCCTATTTAGCTGCTTTCCCCTATTTATTCCCAACTGCAATGTATAAAGACCCTGTGAAGACATTCATTGAGGTGCGGGCCACGGAGGTGGTTATTCCCTATGATGTCAAAGCTACTTGCATCAACTATGTCAGTTCAATTTGCATTACCAAATGCGCTAAGCCTGTATTTTATAGGCCACTATTTGTTGACAGCCTAGATTGCCATTAGTCCCCAGGGGCTGTGCTTGTATTTGCTTTCCCAGGCGTACCGTACCTAGGGTGTCTCTATTGTCCAAAGAGACGGCAACTAGGGGCTGCTGACAGCAAAGAGACTCATTTCCTTTCTGTGGAAAGTAGCATATGTGGGCTGTCCCACAGATGTGGGACACAGTATGGACACCGGACCCAGTATGGAATAAAGGTGCATTACACCTAAGCCTGGAAACTTGGTGGCATCCCTGGATCCTCTCAGCGTTATCCCTGAGAGCTGAAGGCAAGTGAAAAACCAGCCAACCAACCACCGACCAATGAACCCACCCGGCTGGCCTGGAATTGGGTGATAGTGGTGGTCTTTTTTTTTTTCCCTGCTGGTAAATACCTAGCTTTGTTGTTGTTACAGTTGTTGTGAATTGATGAATGTCAATTCAACGTTTGTTGGGAAGGACTTATCAGGGTCAGACTAAGATTTCTGGTCAAAGCCAGAAATAGAGTCCTTTTCTGTCACTCTGGCTTGCTAATAGCCTAGTGGTAGACTGATGGGTCTCTCCTGCCTCAGCAAGATCCTTAAACTATTGGTTACCCCAGTCCTACCTCTAACACTACACCTTAACCTACTGTCAATTTCTCTCTTTCTTTTTACTTCATGAAAAATCTGGCAGATCTCAGTTTTGGTCTGATGCAGAATGAAAATACATTACCAAACCTTGAAATGTATCAGGAATTAATTCTTATATTCCAGGGGCTTTGGACAGGGCCAGGCCACCAGTGCGCACTGTCTACTTGATGGTAAGAGGCAGTAAAACATAGAATCCAGGCAGCCCATGGTGGTCCTACAGGTTTTCAAGAACATAGAATTATAGAATCATAGAATCACAGGATGGTTTGGGTTGGAGGGGTCCTTAAAGACCATTTAGTTTCAGTCTCCCTGCCATGGGCAGGGACATCTTCCACTAGATCAGGTTGCTCATAGCCCCGTCCAACCTGGCCTTGAACACTTACAGGGAGGCAGCAAAGATGTTAATATTAGATTATAGCACAAAACAGTGGTAATCTTGTTAAAATAGATGTAATTGAAAATTCCAACATTTTCCCTATGTTTACACCATAAACTCAATTTAGCTTGAATCCATCTGCCATTAAAAGTTTTAAATTTATTTTTGAGGGAGTACAAAATAAATGCACACAAAGCATTGGCAATACTGTAAACTGCTCTCAATCCATTCTTGAATTGCACAATTTACAGACGACACTTTAAGGACATCACTTAGCTGAGAACAAAGATTTGCAATTACATTTTTTTTAAAAAAGAGACAAGAAAGCAAAATGGAGAAAGGAAAAAACCAGAAACAACAAGTGATTCATCCTTGACGATCGTTATCTATTTCCCTTTCTTTTCTTGGGAATTCAGCCAAACACTAACTCTCACACAGATTGATTGACTTAGCAAAACCAGTTAACATTTCACAGCAGCCCTCCTCCATTGTTTTGTTAGTGAAAAAGCCAGGCAGCTACAAGTGACTGTGGGCTTCTTATCTCAGTTTGTTAGAAATACTAAGATGACTATCGTTTAGGTAGTTCTTTCATTTAAACGGAGAAACGGGCTCTGTAGCAAGGAAACCCTATATGTTCTCCTCACCACAGGTCAGGTCTCTGACTCCTTAGTTGGCATGTGCTTTCGTTCTTAAGAATTTGCTGCGCTTTCTCAAAGGAGTTAAAACCAGTAGGACTGTAAGGCCCATAATGCTAGACCATGCTGAAGAATGTATTCAGACAGAGAAGGAAACTTGCAGTGCCTTCCTGGACATACAGATGGTTGTTGCCCAGCCTAATCCTTAAATACAAACTTCCACATGAAGCTATGAAAAGGAAACGGGGAGTTTCTGCTGCCAGCTGTATGAGGGCTTAGGGCCCATTCTGACTACCCAGTATACTGATAAAACCTGGGAAAGAGCAAAATCTGACACTTTCTATTCATCTTTGGATGATTTTGTGGTTTCACTGGTCACTGAAAGGTCCTTCATAGCCTTCTGTTCTAGCACTAAAAATAGATCATGCATCGTTTCATGGGAATAGTATTTAAACAACTCATTAATATCATATTTAAACTTCTCTTTTATTTACAGGAGGCGTAGAAATCGGCGTGTGCATCAGCTCTCCCCCGCAGAGGTGGAGTCCATGAGAGATGTCCTGGCACATAATCTATATCAAGTGCGGCAAAGGGTGCGTAAGCCACCCGCTATCGCGCGGTATTTGCAGACTGAAAGCTCTTGTTTGCCCTCCCCGTATCGTAGCCACGGCGGGTGGTAGCACCAGGACCGGTCCTGGGGTCACGTCGGTGGGAGATGTGGGTTGGGGAGCCCTGAGTCACCCTGCCCCGGGAGCTGCGTGGGGAAGGGAAGGAGGGGAAGGAGCCTTGGCTCGGGGCTTGCTGCTGGGGCGGGAAGGAAACCAGGTTTTTTCCATCAGTTTTTCACCCTGACGGCAGTGGGTAAAGCCAGGAAAATCTGTGACTGAGCTGTAGAGGTCAGGCTTCCCTCGCTGCACAGCGAGTCGGACACTGCCTTCCCAAGTCTGCCTGGCATCCCCGAGAAGGGACACTGAGGTGCTGGGCCCTCTCCCGGGGGGCAGCGGGTCGGGCCGAGGCTGGGCCCGACGGGTGCCCGGCACCCACGGAGGGAGGCAGAGCTGTGCGGGAGTCGGCGGGCGGGCGGGTCGCCCGCAGCGGTGAAACTCCCCTGTGGAGGTGGGTGGACCAGTGGCCGTAAACGTTGTGTAGCCCAAAGTCAGCCGAGAGACAGGTTGGTAAACCCTTGGTCTGTGTGGGAGCAAGGGTTTTACCCTTGCCACAGGAGGAGAAAGGAAAAAAAAAAAAAAAAAAAAAATTCCACCCCCTCCGGAGCTTCACTTTACACGCTTATTTGGTTGGGTTTTTTTTGTTGTTTATTTTTTTTTTTTTCCTCATAAAATGGAGGTAATAGTACCTCAGCAGGGATTTGTTTTGTGGAAATTTGTGCTGATCCTGATGCAGCCCAGTGTATAATATCTACTTAATCCAATCTTGGGCCCAGAATGTACAACTGAGTGCTCTCTTACAGCAACGAGCGGTAGAGGATACATTACGGTAACCTTGAAATTTTGCAGAAAAATGAGGCTAACTTGTGTAACACACAATTACTAGAAAATGCTAGGCCCTGCTCATTTCAATGTGTCAATATGATATCCATTCCTAATATTGTTTGATTTGCCATGGCCAATTATCCTTATGATATTAATTTCTTATCTTACTAGCAACAATTTGCATGTATGGCTGCCTCTTAGATTACTGAAATGAACTCTCTCTCTTCAAAATCAATCACAGTAATTACTATTTGAGTCAGTTGCTTCCTATGCGGTATTCAGAACTGTGTGCTTTTGAAAATGAAAGATCGGAAGTAAAATAATTCCACTTCTAACACTTCACTTTCAAATATGAAGGCCTGGTAATGCTCTGGCTCACCAAACCAACTTTACAAGGAGACTTGCATGTGAGACTGAGATCAGATTCTGCTTTTTAAGAGGGTTTATAAAGTCATGATTATTTTCTTTTTAAAACAGATAATTATTTCCCTCGTTTCACTAGATGTATGCAATAAATTAAAAAGCTTGTACTAAAAGATGCTCAGTTCTAAGGTAATATTAAGGTGCAGTTTGTCCAATTATGGAAGGGAAACTCAGCTGTGCATCTCATTCTGGAGAGGCACTCTTTTTAACATAGCCTTCTGCTCCCGGGCAACTTGTTCTGCAACTTGCTCCTGGCTGAGTAATATTAGTAGCAAGGCTCGGGGGTCAGTTAATCAGCTACCGCTCTCTTGGGACCTGCCTCAGATCTGTAGCTCCCAAATGTGTGATGAGAAGAGGGATGACAAAGGGAGGACAAGCCCAGAGATGTTAACAGCCTTGTGTAGGTAGGTATATTTTGATGGTGCACTTTGAGCAGGCAAGAGTCTATCAAAAACGGCATCAAAATGCAACCTCTGAGGTCCAAGGCTTAGATCTGTGTTTGTGCTTCCTCCTGCCTTGCTCTGCAGCACTGAGGGAAGTGCGAGGCTGCGTTTTTCCACACGATACCAAAGAAATCTGTGGTGAGTCCCTGGCCGAGCCGGGGCAGGTGTCCCGTTGACCCCGTGATCTAGCAGACTGTGCAAGGTTATTAACATTGCAAGTGCAAAAAAAATCACCTGGGTTCATCTTATGTTTCAGGCACCGACATACAGCCGACACAACCTGCCTAGCAACACAAATGAGAAACAAGCCCAAGAAATCCTCATCCGCCGGCAGCACAGCCTGCGGCAGAGCTGCAGGAAGGGAAACAGCCTACCTTGGGGTAGACCGGTACCTGTTATGTAAAATACTATTCATGTGAAAAATGCCTCTGCTTCTCTGCAAATAAGGAAAGAGACACCCATTTTTATATGTTTTTTGCAATAATTAAAATGGATCATTTCCCCAATGTTCTCATGCAGCGCATAAGAAGAAAGAGCTCCACTTAGCATGTGGACAGCAATGCTTTTATGTTCTACCTCTATATATTGGTGAGAAAACAGCTACTATAGCTGTAAGTGGTAAAATAATGTGACTTTCACTGTTTTGGCATGTACAAAACATAGTATAGTCACAAAAGGCCTCATTCAAAGCCCTTGACACCTTGTGCTGACAGTTTGGGCTCTCAATCAGTAAGAGTAACATTTGTCTGACCTAATGCAGGCACTGGATAGCATAGACATTTACAGACGAGATAATCACAGTTAAGGAAGAGAAATAAGTTCTCGCTGGGTATACTAATTTTATTTAAAGTAGTCATCTGAAATAAGAAAGGTGAATCTTGGGACATATTTCTCTCTGCTGACTGTAAAAAAAAAACCCAGGGCTATTATATCAGACACAGACATTTTCACTGGAGCTGATGTTGAGTACAGCCATCCAAGCCAAGCATTGGTCTTATTCACGCCTCTCTAAATTTGGCTGTAAGGGTGCAGAGGCATAACAGAAAAAGTGTATAACCATCCCTCGTCAGTGTTCCACCAAGTAAGCGCAAGTTGTGGAGGCAATCGCAGGCACTGAACTCATTTCTGTCTCATACACAGGCTAGCACCGTGGAAGTACGCTACCTCTCTTTGCCTCAGGGCCCCAGCCAGCCTAGACAAAAAGCCAGGCGTGTTACTTTTACAGGTAATGGAAATGCTTTATTCTATATCCTACTCCAGCAGTGAGAGAAACTTGGCCAGTTGCTGAGTGGATTTAACAGTACTAAATGAATAATCCTATTGAAGTCCCTGGCCTCTTTAAATGAGCTACACCCTTTCCTCCTTTCTTTTTTATCTATGCTGTTTATAAGGTCATTACTGCAGCAGTTTCAATATCGTTCCAGCACCGCCTAGTTTCTTTTTTATCCCTCTTGCACAAATGCAGACCCATCCGCACTTACACTCTAAGTAAGGAGACAGAGGTTAGCAACACTGAATTGCCTAGTGTCAGAGAAAACATGACAGTGTCAGATAAAACATGGAATTTAGGACACTTGAATGTTCATCACTGTTTCCATCTGTAATCTCCCTGACTCCTTTCTGAGTTTATTTAGGTGAACCTGAAATGCATATGGGTTCCTTACAGAAATTTCTTTTAATTTCTGGCAAAATTAATTATAGTGACTGAAACCATATTTTTAATCTTCGTATTTGTGTCAAAACCTTGGACAACAAAGTTTGTTTCCTGCAGGTGCAAAATGTATTTCCCTATCTGTTTTATTCTGAAAGAGATGAAGGCAATAGAGATCTGTGTAGGCAAACCATCCCCCTGAGGCTGGGTACTCACACATGATGGCAGCAGAACAGAAACCCATAGGATCTATTCAGAGGGGAAAAATTGAAGTTACTCAAGGGGATTTTTTTTTTTTTTTCCATACAGTTGATTCTTTTCTGTTCTGTTTGTCAAGATGTTATGGTGGGAGATATGTATCTTTCTAAAAGACTCAAACTGTTCTACACACCAGCCTCAGACCTAAAAGCATTTCAGACACTTTCAAGGGACCAAGTCCTGCTATAGAAGACAGGCACGTTATTTCAGTGGGGAGAGAAGTAAATCCTGAAGCAGTGAATACAGATACATTTTTACTAATAACTAGGCCTGAATTTGAGCCTTACCTTGTTCTCTATCCAAATAAACTTCCTCGTCCCATCTTAGGTCCATTGCATAGCATTCACACCAGTTTAAATGTCTGCAGCAGGAGGAAGCCACCCTAAGCACCTCTCATAAAATGTGTTAGGATGAGATGAATTGCACTTGGGAAGCAAGAAGAGAAATAGTCAGTATGTAGGAATTTAGAATGACAACCTCATATATCCACATATGTGTTTACGGAGATAAATGCCACATCTTCTGACTATGCTTGGAAGCCCTCCTGCAACAAGCATCCTCCAGCAAGTGTGGTTTAGCTCTTACATATAGCATATGCAGAAAGTTTAGCAACTAAAAGATCAGAAACTACCACAAATAGATCCTTAAACCACCTATCAGCTCCTTCTGCCACTCATACAAATGCACGATTTCTTTGACAGTATATATCATTCATACTTTGTAGCAGTGATGCCCCCAAAGTTGAAGCCCTTCAAATCTGAGAATACCTATTCTATTTTATTGCTAATGGTGTGGTATGCCCACATGGCCTAAGAGAAGCAGGTTCTGCTTCTGTTAAAGAAATTCGTGCCCCCGTTCGGTGGAAGCAAGCACTGGGTACACATGCTCTTACTGTGTGCTGTGAAGTAAACATTGGGTTAAAATTATTTGATAGTTATTCAGTAGCAGTAACTTGATAAATTTGACTGTGTGTCTATACCAAATGTCTGCATTAACTGTAGCAAGCTATAGTCTAATTTTATTATTCATGGACTTCTGTGTTTTTCTCCCAAAACCTTCTAGCTTGTTATGACCTGTTTCTAAAATTAACTAATTTGCTACTGCATAGTCAGACAACAGGTGGCTTTAAGAAAAGTTTAAAAGTATATTCTGTAAAGTCAACAGAATGAGAGAGCCAGTTATTGTCCTACTGCAGGCAAATTTATATTGTGTATCTGTGGCAAAGCAAGCTGGTCTGACACACCCAATATAATCAAAGCACCCTAGAGTCAAACTCCTGGTTTCAGGTGAAACTGTTTTCTTCCCAGTTGTTAATCACAGCTGACTAGTAAACTGAATTTTCCGTGGCACTAGAGTCTTCTCCTCAGTCAATTTCTGTCTTCTGCTGTGGGTTTCACAATGCTTTTCAACCCTGGCACTAGGTATACTTGTGAAATTTGTAGAAAATGGAAAGCTACATAAAGGAGCACTCTTGCTTGGTGAAAGCACTGAGCAGCTCTTTGAGGCACTAAAGATAGTTGACTGTGCTTATTTTCTGGGGTTTCAGGGTAGAGGCAAGATCAGTAAAGTCTTTTAAACGTCAGCTTTGGGAAGAAAATTAAAATTTCAGATTATTTTTAGTTCTTGACTGCTCTCTTATTCTACAGTAGCTCTATAAAATGCTTCAGTTCCAGGGTTTAAAACCATAAGGCTATATTGTATTGAATACCCTTTAACTGCCCTTGACAATACCACGGTGTTTCTCTTTTCTCTTCTTCAAAATACGATTTTTTTTGACTATTTTCCTTCAGATCACCACAGTAGTGGCTCTGATGCTGCATTCCCAGTAATGTTTAGACCCCAGCCCCGACTACGGCCACTCGAAGCAAAGCACCGCCAGCAAGAGCTGATTCCAATGACACGCTTGGATAGACGAGCGGGCCCATCCAATCTGTCAGGTCGAAGAGGAAATTCAATCAGCCAGCATCGTTTCACCAGAGCAGGCAATCTAGCTCTAATGCCAAAGTCTCGATTCACCATGGGAGAAGTAGAGAGGTATGAGTCAGAAGAAGAGACAGAAACAATGGCACCAGCCAGGCCATTAGTCATATGAGGAGCAGAGAAGAGCAATGTTTGCCTCTCTAGGGCCCTTTGTACACTGCTTCAGAGAAAATAACAAAGCTCTTATATGAACCAAACCACAATTTTCCTTCTGGGACCAGTGCACTTGTATCACTTTCAAGCGCTGTATCAAGGTACTTAGTGGCTCGGAGAAGACTCAAATTCTTATACATTTATATCAAGCTTTCTTTCCAACAAACACTGCAGGAAAGAGGGGAACATGATCTTTGTAGAGGTTTGGATGTAGATTTAAACGACGGTAGTTGGGCACATGCAGTGCTATGGGTGGAAGCTGATACTGACTTCCTCTGTTCTGTACTATGGCCTGAATCCAGAAGAAAGAAATACCGAAAGACATGCTTGGCACATGAGTGCCCAAATGGATAACTTCAACTTGCCCTGAGCTTTTGACCTCAGAGTAGCTGAGATATTCCAGGAAAGAGTTAAAAACTAGGCATTTTTAGGGCACTTGAGTGTCACTGAAGATGCCTAAACAAGTACTTAAGTCAAAAGGATTTTTAGTGGACATTGTCAGCACTTGGGAATCTCTTGGCATCTCAGGTTCTGGCTCTGCAAAAGTGCCTAAAGTCAGTTGCTGTGATGGTCCATAACTCCTGCTACTTAACCAGTTTCAACATGTAGGCACCTATCACCCACCTACAATTATTTTGGATGAATAAAGGAAGCATCCTGGTACATACAAATTCAGAGGACTCTTCAGGCAGGGGTGCTGTCAGGATGCCTTTTATTTGCAAATGTGGGACAGCAAGAATGTACACAGTATTTGTGTGGTTCAGCAAGAGGGAGGCTTCATTGTAGAGCATCAAGCCTCCATTCCCCACTCCCACCTTGCCAGAGAGTGCCCAACTCAGTGGAGCACTCACTCTTCACACTGAAGCTGGACCAGCGCTGTAGCCAGGAAGCAAGAAAATGGGATAAAAGGTAAAGGGAGCCTAACTTTGTAGCCCACTGGCTAGAAGGAAAGAGAAGTCCTGTGTTTTGCTCCCATCTTTCTACAGGATGTCTGCCTATATGTTGTACAGAGAAGCATTTGCTAAAAAAAAAAAAAAAAAGCAGAAATAACCAGGGGGACATGCTCTGGAGCCCGTGCCCTCCCAACCTTCCTGCTGAGCTCCCTTCCAACTGTGTCTGTGTGCCCATGCGCCAGTCTCCGTGGCAGGTCTCCCTAGTGGTAGGAGAAACAAGCAGCTTCTTCAGTAATTTTGGATAAAGTCTAAAATCCCAGACACTCTGATCCTCTGATGGAGCTCTTTTCTGCAAAAGGAAAGCAGTGTTGCTATTGTCATCTGTGTCTTGAAACTGTAGGTAAGCTGATTTTATCAAAATGGATGGTTCGAGTGCAAAAGTCCATATACCCACCCTACAGCTGCACTAAACTCAAATCTACAGCTGAGAAACGTGCCGAGTTCAGTCATGTTTTCTTCAAGTTTCTCTCTCTCCTCCCCTCAAAGCTTGCTTAGCTGCCCAACTCAGGGTCTGTAAATGCTACTGTAAGAGTCAGAGAGGTAAGAATCAGAGATAGCAGTGCTACTTTTATGTATCATTTTTTTATATTACTATTAAACGCTAGTATGCCCTGGTCCAGAAAAAGCTTTTAAGTGTAAGTTATGACTTCACATTTCGTACAAGGGTTTTCTGATTCAGGACAAGTAACATCTAAACTAACAAATTTGAAAAGTGCCACCAGAAGAAAAAAATAAAAGCCCTTTTCTCCTTTTCTTGTGTTTGCAGCTTTTATATTTATCAGGTCATTATGAATCATCTGAACTGAAATTGTACAAAGCTTTCTGAAACGTAAGGTCTGTTTGCATTTCCTCATTGTGCCAGAGAAATTATACAACTTCCTTTCATGAAAGCACTGGCACGTTATTAAAAGAGGGTAGGATTTGTCTTTTGTACCGACACTGAATAAGCAATTAAATACAGTTCTCTACCTGAAAATCAACAAATAAACCCAGCTCCACCAAAAAAGGAAGTGTTCTATGTAGTTTTTAAACAAAAGCCTTGTGCCAGATCTCAATCCTATATCAAGTTATATTGACACATCATAAATATTAATGAAACGTTATTTTAAGAAAAAAAAATATCATACAAAGTCAGGTCTTAAATTGCACTGTGTCAGCTACCCAGTTGCCACATGAAATTTAATTGAGGGCAAAATCAGTGATGTGGTTCTTAGGCCACAGAGCTGACATAGGTGCACAGAGTGGGGTGATGGAGGTGTGGGACCAGCTTCTGCATCGCAGAGTTGGGAGGGGCTGGCATCTCCAAAACTGACTGGTGGGTGATATGAACTGCAGGCAATCCTTGGGGAAAGCGATGAAGAGAGAGCGGAAATCTGAGAGGAGGGTGTAGAAGGGATAGTGTCTCATCTTCAAAGGGAGGCTCAGGAGAGAACTATTAAACAGAGGAATTACTGTGAGCTGCAAATTCAGCGTTTTCTCTTTAAGTAGATTTAATTAACAGGTTGTCTGAGGGAACTGGACAGATACAAACTCTGTGAGATGAGGAGGGTTAATAGGATGGCTGGAGTAGCATGGAAAGGGACTAGATGTGCATCATGAAAAAGAGGAGTCCATGCAATTTGATCAGGGTATGTTTGAAAGGCATGCTTAAAATTGACTTCCAAATTCTTTATTAAATATGATAAAAGTTGTGGAGCATTTATATAATTACCCATTTTAAGTAGGGAGAAAAGCATTCATTTTCTAATGACTATTTATATTAACACTAGAGAAAATTAATTAAGTCTTTCTAAAATGCAAATAAAACTAGTTCATAGCTGGAGTCAAATCTCCCTCTTTTACTTCAGTCCTAATCCTTCCTCTGACGAAATCAGTGAGGCAGATCTTGAGAGAGTGTAAAGCCATAGGGAGTCTAGAAGTTAATAGAACTCTCCCAGCTTTTGCAGTCTGGCCCCCAAACTTGTAAAGTCTAGTCTATTTTTAGGTTTCTGTTCTAGCAATTAGAAAATAGGACTGGAAGAAAATTTCCTTCTGTGCCATTAGTTGCTGTTAATGGTTTTGCTGGCCATCAGCCAAGAAGCAATGCTGCAGATGCCTGTGTAAAATATGTTCTAACATAGAAAGTTGCACTGTTTACTTGTTTTCATAGGTATTTCATACCTGTGGACAAAAGAGTTCTCCTTGAAGAAACACATTGCAGTAACTACAGCAGTATTTCATTACAAGTAACTTACTCCGTGTCTACAGGCTCTCAGATCTTGTCCATAAAGAAAAATGAAGTCGTTTAGGGCATGAATTTAAATCCACCGTGTGTGGGCATTCTTAAACTCTTTAACCTGGGTCACATTCAGGAAACCTGTGCTGATAGTTTACAAAGGTAAGTTAATTCAAGATCTCTTTTTCTTAGACCGGTACAGTGCTATTTACTCTGATTTAAGGTGAACAGGGCATAGGAAACTCATGCCCAGAAGATGAAGAATTATTATTCAAAATCCAGAAAGGAAATAGGAACGCAGAGAATTAAGACTATTTCCTTGGGGCCTGAGGATAGTGCAGGGCAGGTGAGTTTCAGGAAGAAATAATAATGCATAGCCTGTACCTTCAACAGTAGAGATACACCTTGTTGTGGTTTAATCCCATCTGCAATTAAGACCCATCCAGCCGCTCGCTCACTCCCTCCGGGTGGGATGGGGGAGAGAATCAGATGGGTGAAAATGAGAAAACTCACGGGTTGAGATAGGCAGTTTAACAGGCAAAGCAAAGCCTGCTCACACAAGCAAAGCAAAACAAGGAATTCATTCACCCCAACCCACGGTCAGGCAGGGGCTCAGCCGTCCCCAGGAGGGCCGGGCTCTGTCACACATAACGGTGACTTGGGCAGCGAAACGCCATCACTCCGAGTGTCCCCCACTTTTTCCTTCTTCCCCCAGTTTTTATTGCTGAACACGATGTTATGTGGTGTGGGATGTCCCTCTGGTCAGTGGGGTCAGCTGTCCCCGCTGTGTCCCCTCCTGACTCCTTGTGCACCCCCAGTCTCCTCGCTGGTGGGGGGGTGTCAGAAGCAGAAAAGGCCCTGACACCGTGCAAGCACTGCTCAGCAACAGCTAAAGCATCCCTGTGCTATCAACACTGCTTTCAGCACAAATGCAAAACATAGCCCCATACTAGATACTGTGAAGAAAATTAACTCTGTGTCAGCCAAAACCAGTACACACAGGAACAGAACTTGCTAACCAATGAGAAAAATAAGACAATAATAAGAACAGTCACAATGAGAAAATATTTTAATAGTAAAAGCAGCAATGGTCAAGTGGAATATTTCAGAAAATGGGAGGGAGTTACCAAGGTCAGCAGTACACTGTGAGCAACCGGCAACGCTTTCATATTTATTGCACAGTGTGATTAACTGTTAGATCCTGTTGTTCTTGCTGCAGCTGTTACTCTTCAACTAATATCCCAGGCAAGTAGGAACGTGTAGGAAAAGGAGAATCTCCTCCTCAGAGAGCTTACCATCAAGGACACAACAGCGAGGGGAGCGCTGGCAATCAGCACATGGTAGTAGCTAGTGCAGGGAGATCCCGAGGTGTGACCTCCAGAAATACCAATTAGCAGCGTGCCCCGGGAGAAGGCATTGCTGTGGTCCCTCTTCCAGGGGGAATGGTGCCCACTGGGAAGGTCTGCCACCCCGTAGCCAGGGCTGCCGCTGCCGTCTGTACGGCACCCGGGGGAACACCATGCTGGCTACGTGGTAATGCCAGCGGGCAGGACGGGGAAGGGTGCTCTCACGGGCCGAAAATCAGCTTGTGTGTCACACTAGGGGAGGGCGTCGGTGAAGGAACGCAGAAGCAAGGGGATAATTTGCCTCTTAAGCTCAGGCGTGTGTCCATCAAAGCCAGAGAGGAGAAGCTGTAACGGATAGAAAAGAGCAAATGCCCCGGCGGGAGCTCTAGGTGGACTGATTTGCTGCTCTGTGTGTGGGCCGAGAAAGTAGGCCAACTTAAAAGTCAAAAGGTAGTTCAGATATGTGTAGAGCAATTACAGAGGACTGTATGAGATTCAGAAAAGTAGGCCAGGGTTTCGGGCTGGAGAGACTGGTGGAGAAGAAGTAACCGTGACTGTCTTCAGCACAAGAAGGATAGCTTAATCCGTTTTTATGAGCGAGACAGTCAGAGAAAGAAGGCCAGTGATATCTGCAGGGGAAATCATCAAATTTCTATGGATGGAAAACTTGACTTTTAGGTAACAATGTGAAATTATTATTATTTTCCTGCTGGTCTGTTGGTTTTGAGAACTGACACTTTCGAGGTTTTTCCTGAAGCCATTAGACCCTGAAAACTCATGTTTTATTGTCATGTACAAATGGAAACTACTATTTAAAAGCCTGTGGGACACTCCGGAAAATGTAACAAATGTTTCCAAGCTTCATTTCTTCATAGGTACCTTTTC